GACTGGTGCCCCTGATATTGCTCTTTGTGTCTGGGGTCACTGGTGCCTTGCTGCTGCCAGTTTCACTGATGCCACCAGCGTTGCCGTTGGGTACTGGGATGGTGGCCACCTCTGCTGTGTCACCTGGGTCACAGGGACCCCACCTCCACGACTGGGGGAGGGTTAGGGTAGGGGGATCTGGGATCATGGGTGCCTCTGCTGCATATGTGATTGTTAGGGAGCCAACATTGTGAGAGCTGCCATGGTTGGTGGAACTGGGTGTGCAGGCCCTGCTGCCACCTGTGGCCATAGGCACCCCTGTAGCCAGGGGGTTGAAGTCTTGTGTGCTGCCTTCCCGGCTGTTGCCAGGGTCTGGGGTTACAGGCACCACCTCTGCTGTTGCCCTGGTTTTGCCTCCTCCATGTGTTCCTGTCCACCTACCTTCAGATGCACAGATGTGAGAAACTCAGGCATCCTCATGTATTTGGTGACGGAACCTTTGTTACGGATGTTTTGACTAGCTGTAGATTGCAGGGGAGAGACAAAAGGAGCGTCTTATACAGCCGTGACATCGATCTTACTTGAATCATATTTTTAAAATCCACTCGACCATCTCTGCTTTTAATTAAAACATTTAGTACGTTTATATTTAAACTAATTACTGATAAGACTGACTTGTCATTCTTGACTTGGTTTATATATGTCATATCTTTTTTGTTACTCAGTTCTTCCATTAGCACTTTCTTTTGTGTTGGTTTTTTTTCTGTGTACCATTTTGATGACCTTCTCGTTTCCTTTTCTGCATAGTTTAAAATCTATTTTCTTAATGGTTTCCCTGAGGATTGCAATTAAACTAAGAAAAATCTAGTTAGAATGACACACCTTATGTTCAATGGGATACAAAAACTGCTCATACAGGTTCATCCATTTGCTTTTATGTTACTGTCAAATTACGTTTTATACATTCTGACTTTTTGTTAGATTCCACATATGAGTGAGATCACACAGGGTGTCTTTGGCTTATTGCACTTACCACAGTGTCTTCCAGGTTCATCCATGTTGTCGCAAGTAGCAGAATTTCCTTTTCTTTTTATGGCTAAATAACATTCCATTTTATACATATACCACAAGTTTAAGCCATTATGCGTTCATCTAACGATGGACACTAGGATGTTGATCTTGGCTACAGTCAGTAATGCTGAAATAAACATGGAAATGCCAATATCCTTTCAAAATACTGATTTCAGTTTTATCATACAAATAAATAAATACCCAGAAGTGGGATTGCCAAACCATACGTCAGTTGTATCCTCATTTTTTGAGGAACCTCCATGTCTTCTATAATGGCTTTCCTATGGACGTACCTGTTCCATGCTTGTCCCCACCGTGGCAGCTCACAGAGGAGGTAAGACTCTTCAGATGATATGCCTTCTTTGAATCCTGCAAAGCCAGGCTGTGTGCTGAGAGCCTCTCCTTTGCTTTCCCTAGGGCTGTGCCCTGAAATGCTCATTTGTGTGCTTTTCCCCAATAGTGTGGAAGGGCCAGCTTTGTTTGCTCACTAGCCCTCAAAAAACACTCATACTCGCCACCGACTGGGAGCTGGTCCCTGCAGGGGAGGGGGGCACTGTGTGGGTGAGGCAGGTGGTGCCCATGGGACAGCTGGGCATATATTGGTATCTTTCATGGTGTCTGACAGGTCTCTCGGGCTTGGCTCATTTTTCCTCCATTTTTTTCTTGTTTCTCAGACTGGATCCTTTCAATTGACGGAATTTCAAGTTCACTGATGCTTGCTTCTGTCTTTTCTGCCATTGAGGCCCTCTAAGGGATTTTTCAATTCAATTATGGTATCTTTTAGCCTCAGAATTTGCACTTGACTCCTTTTATAGTTTTCTTTATCGTTAGTCTCTATTTGAGACATTTTTCACCTTGCTTCCTTAGTTTATAGTTTCATTTAGCTCTTGGAGTATATTAAAGACAGTTATAATCTTTATCCAGCAAGTCTAGTGTCTGTGCTTCTTCAAGGACGGTTTTCTGTTAATTTCATTTTTCCCTGTGAATAACTACATTTTCTTGTTTCTTTGCCTTTTTTTGAAACTTGTCATTCTGAATATTATGGCAACTCTGGGAATTGGATTCTGTTCCCTCTCCAGAGTTAGTTTTTGTTGCTCGTTGTGGTTTGTAGTGGTGTCACTTTTCAAAGCTGTTTTTGTAAATAACTGTATTCCTTGTCATGTGTGGCCTGTGAAGTTTCTATCTCATTAGCTTAGCGGTCTGCTAGTGGTTTGACAGCTTTTCTTAAGTGCCTGGAATGAAGAGAAATCAAACGAAACAAAAGAATATAGTCTTCCTCGTGTTTGCAGAATGACTGCCTTGTTGCTGAGCCACTTCAACTTACCTGGGGTGTTTCCATCTCTGCTTTAGCCTGCACTTTCTGCTCGGGCTTGAGTGTAAAGATCAGCAAGAGGTAAAAGCTCTTAGTCTTCTCAGATCTTTTATAAGGATGCACCTGCCCTGGGTTATTGGCACATCCTGTTAGAGTCCTTGGAATACGTGGGAGCTTTTCAAAGCCATTATTCCCCAAAGTACTTCACTCCCTAGTTCCACCCCCACCAGGCTTTCAGCTGTGTGTCTATTGTTTGTTTGTTCCAACCATTATCTTTTGCCCAGAGAGCAGCATATTCATTTACCTTTCAGTGTTTTACAGAAACGGCTTCTGTATGTAGCCTCTTTTGTTTCACCTAACTTCTTAGCAGGAGGCTGGAGGAAGAATAAGATGAAATGCCATTAAGCTAGCCTTCTGGGTTTCAGGTTTTTCGATTTTGTTTTTCAGCATTTATGTGGTTGCTGTAAACCTTCCACTGTTTTGTAGACTTCCAATGGAATTGATTTCTGCCAGTTTTTTTCATTTTTCTAGTGCTTCTATGAAGGGCACAGGTCCCTAGAATTTCTCATTCTGCCATTTTCATTGACAGGTGCATATTTTTAATGGAAGTAGACGCACTAACATGTGGGTGAATGGGACATGATTTTATAGTATGAATGTGTGATCCTTAATTAAAACTTTGTATATTTAAGACTCTAGTTGTATAAACATTACCATATAAGAAGATTAAAAAAGGGTGAATAAATTTTAAAAATGACAGATGCTTATGAATTATGTAAGAACATTTGGGGGCTGACAGGCACATACTTGAATCCTTTGAGTGACCAGCAACTATGCTCACCCTTTTCCTACTACTAGAAAAATTACTATTAGGTTCGTTATTGGTCTGACCCTGTACAGCTTCCTGCTGGAGTCTGAAAACCATCTTGTTTTAAGATTTTAAACTTGCTGAACCCTGCGGACTCTGAGGAACATTAAGTTTCCAGGAGTCAATTCAAATGTTCTGTCCCTTGATGCTCTAGCTAATGTGCTTGCTCCTGTCACCAGTCTTCTTAAAACACAATGTTTAATGTCTTTGATCTCAGTGACGTGCTGTTCCTTACTTAGAGTAACCACTCCCTTCATCTATCCTTAGGGAAGTTCTCATAACAGCAAGAAAGCAGATACTTGTCAAGCTCTATGGTTACAAGGTCTGATCACCCCAGATCACCATGCTTGCTGAACTGTAATTGACAAGGATATTATTTTACGTGGGGAAAAAAAATACAGTAAACACACAGCACTGCTGGGCTTACTCATGTGAGTATCTCATGCCAGGAACAGTGTGCTGAGCATCAGTATTTATTTATCAGGTATTTTTATCAGTTAGCCTCCTTTAGATGGAATTTCATATTACGATTTTCCTCTTTAACTGAGTAGGAGAGTGATTCTTCTTACTCTAACTGGAGACTGTTAAACATACAATCAGTTTTTTAGGGGGTCTTCAATATAGTGAATCTAGCTGAAGTGATGTTAGAGGATATAACCTACCAACACTCAAACTAACTTTCTAATTTAGATTGTTTGGCAGAGGGAAAGCTATCATGTATTAGCTGTGTGGTTTTCCACATGATACACTCTGAAAACAAACTACACTCGAGCCACTCCTTGTAGTTCTGCTGTAGTGCTTTCCAGTAACGATCTATCTTAGGGCAGTTTTTCCCCGTCCCTAATGCAGTAAATGTCTATAGAGAAACAACAGCTCATTAAAAGTTTGTAATTCTGGAATTGTTTTCGTAGTTGGCATGTATTTAATGAGAGGAAGGTACATACTACAGGTGGGATAGGGAGATCCTCCTTCCCTGAGTCTCGGTGCCTGAGAACTTTCTGACTCTGACCATGCTTGAACACTACTGGGCTTTACAGAGTTCAGATGTGTGTTGCTGATAAGAATTTTGAGTCTTAAAGGGACAAACAAAAGTGATTATACTTAATAAAACATTTACTCGATGTAAAATTTGGCCCCAGACCCCAATTTTAATATTTGTTGTGAGTGAACTTGAGAAAATGTAAAAATACGCAATAGATTAAGGTTTTATGGTTGAAATGCTACATAGGTTAGGCATTAAACGAAGTCTTATGATCACTTACTGCTTTTCCATAAATGCCATTCCAGTACTAAAGTCATCAGTCTTTGGACAGAAACTAGGGGAATTGATGTGATTATTAATAACTGTAAATGTGATAAGGTTAACATAGTTAAGAATTACCTGGCAATTTTTGCTGAATATAATCATGTTTTGAAAAGACAGCTTCCCGCCAGCACACACACTGCCCTGGGGTTTAACTTCACATGCCCCTGTGGGCTTTTATGTTTCTTTCCTTAGTGGACTCCCTAGGTGCAAAATGGGTAAACGCAGTGGATATGCAGCTGGTTCCTGTTCTGAGACGATGCAGCTGGAACTCTCAACTAAGTTCTCATGGTCTCTTGCTCCGATCTTAATGAAAATTAGACAACAAAGCCTAAAAAAAATGAATCGAGCTGATTAAATAAGTGTGTTTCTAAATCCTCCTTAGGTAGCACCACAAACAATAAAAATTGAGGTTTGAAAGTCTGAAAGCCCAGTTACAAGCTCCACCTTTTTCTTTTTTTGGGGGGGGTTTCATCTTCTGGTACTTGAGTAAGTCAGAGAGATTTACATTTCCTATCAAAATTTCCATCTAATTTACAGATTGTTGTTCAGAAAAAAATACCATAACGTACGGGCAGATGCTTCATGAACTAAAACAGGATATACAAACATAACAGTGGTTATACGCCTGTATTTGATTTTCAAGAAAGCTTCACCGAGTCACTTGCTCGTATTAGGATAACTAATCTCTTTCTAGATTCAGGGAATAAGGTTTTGATGGCTAGCTTCTTCCATAAAACACAAGCGGGAAATGGCCGTAGCGGGTTAGTTCTGTGGTTTGTACGTTTGGATTCTTGGGTGACAATTGCAAAGTGAGAGAATATAATTCCTAGTTGTGGTGTGTCACTTCCTTTGCCTGACGCCTTTGCAGTAGGTTGATTTAGTCATGCTAGCTTTAGGTCACATCCTGGGAAGAACCTCTGTTTCCCAGGGCAGGCATCCAAGCACTGTGCATCCAGCTCCTGTCCTGTCTCTGTTACCTGGTTACCATCAATAAGAACAAAACACTATTTGTAACCATACACGTCCTTTATACTGAGACTGCAGTAGGTATAATTGTTCAGTACATGACATATTTTCATGCATACACCTTAACTCTGTACAGCCCCAAGAATTGCTGAAGATACATTTCATAGTTTTCCCTTACTAACATTGGAGTTTTCTTTAATAATGAGAGAACAGTTTTAAAACATGAATTCATAATTACACTGTCATTTATTTCAGTCCTATAGCATACACTGAATATAATAAGCTTGAAAAACACTTCAGTGTTTCCTCTGTTCTTTCCATATTAAATTCAACCATCCACTTCTATACATTAAGTTTCCCAGGAAAACTTACATTTTAAAAAATGATACAGGAATAAGCTGGATTATCACAGTGAGCAAGGAAATGAACTCAAGAATTCAAACCAGTATGTCAGGAACACTTTATCTTCATGGTAAACATTCACTTTATGCAAATCCCACTTGGCTTCATTTAATTAAAAAGCTGAAAAAGAAAGAAAATTACATGCTGAAAATAAGGAAAACACAATATGCTTTTTATTCCATTCTAAATCAGTACATGTATATATAAAATAAAAGTGTCATAGATAACATTAATTTACCTCATTCTAATTTTTATATCAGGGCAATTTCTCTGAACTAGTTCCTGTGATGGGATCAGGCTTTGGTGAGAATAGGTCAAGGGTAGAAGAAGGTGCTGAAAGAACTTGAACTTGCTGTGTTTAAGTCTGGGTAGTTTCTTTAAGCCATTCTAATTGCTGGCTAGACCATTAGTTCAATTAGCATTTAAACTGACAATGGAGGGGAAAAGGAGGGAATGGACTGAAACAAATATTTGGAGTGGGTCATTTCAATGCCCTAAACAAAATATTTTTGTGCATTATTTAATCTATAACTCATTTACTTAAAATTACTAAACACTTGATTTTAAAAAAAATTTATACTTTACTATATTGAATAGCTAAAAAGAATGTATCATAAATCATAATTTAAAATGTCATCAAATTCTGATGAAACAAGTAGATGTTTGTACATACAGAAATAAGTAAGAGGTAACTACTTTTCCTTTCTTAACCTCCCTAAGCAAAACTTTAATCCATGAACAGAAATTTATTGAAGTTTGTAAAAATCGTTTCAGTCAATTTAAATAACATTAAGCTTTTGTTTGATATTTGTACCTTTCTGCTCACATGCAGTTAAGTTTTTGGTTTTTAAGGTCTTGACAACATAACTTTAGGACTACCAGAGACAAACCAATTTTTAACTAAAGACAAAAAGTGAAATTTAATGGTTATTAAATTTGACAAGCCATGTAGCTAGAAAACTGTTCAAACTATTAAGTTTAATATTTGGCTGTTTAAATTATAATATCCTAAGCATGTTACTTCGTCTTTCTGAACCTCGGTTTCCTCATTAGTGAAAAGAACACTTGTTTTGCACGATCTCCAAAGCCCTTGTCAGTGTTGATACTCTGTAATCCTGGTGATGCTGTATGCTTAAAGGAAATATATATTTAGAGTATATGATAGAGCAGTATATAAAATACTTATACACATATTTAAAATATGTCATCTATATTTTAATTTATATCATATAATAAAGTAATTATGCAATACAAAATAAACTATGTATCTGCTTCTGAGGAATTACTGAAAGACAGAAATCATGTGCTGATATCTAGACGTAACAAGACGCTTCTATTTTTAAAGCTAAGTTGTGACTTAAGTGTACTGCAAGGGTGACTACTGCCATGAAGAATGTCAGCAGGAAAACTCAGAGCAGTAAGACAGAGGTGCTGCTCAGTCCATGTCATCCTTAACACCAGTGATGGGAAGTAGATAGAAGCATCCTGAGCAGATGCATGCTTTGGCATTCTCTGTCTTCAGTTATAACACTGCCCTGAAGATAAACCTAGCTGAAGGATGAGGGTTAACATAAAAAACAACAACAACAATAAAAAACTTGATCATATAATATTTAATGTAATTAAAGTTGAAATAATTAGAACTTATAAAAAACAGATTTTATAGTTCTTAAAGCAGTAGGCCAAACATTTCAAGCTATAAGGAACGAAAGATCACTTTTTGGCATTGCTAAAAATATTACCACCATAAAAGCAAGGGTAGTAATATGACCCTCTATGATCATTTTAGACTTCCTAACTTTTTGGTGCTGGAAAGGTGAAAAAGGTTCTTTGACTTTTATATGTTACACTCACAGAGTAAAAGGATCTTTATATTTTCCTATTATTGAAATAGACTGAGACTCCTTAGTCACCAAGCTGTTGGTTAATGTCAGGGTTTTGTTTCAAACCAAAATACTTAAAAAAAAAAAAAAAACAAAACCCTGTTACAGCAATCTTTGGTTGATATATCATGAAGTGACAAATACATATGTAATCGTGAACTGCTGCTTGTGCTATTGTACTACAGTAGAGGATAAATCTAGCAGAGTACTAACTACCTATTTTATAATTAAAAGCTCTTTCATAGTTAAAAGTACTTGTTCAAGAAATTGGAAACACTTGCATAAAAGTATCAAATATTTTAAAATGTTTCTTAGAAAAGTATAAACTATTATTCTCTAGGTAGTCATTTTATAGTTCATGCTTGTTTTTATTTTCATTATATAAATGTCCAGGTGTATGACAAATGTCTTACATTGATCCCATCACTCATTTCTATCTATCAGGGTCTGATGTGTTTTTTTTTTCCTCTTTTCACATGTACCTGTCTAACAATTTTAATGTGTCATCTAACAGTTCTTACAGATTTATGCTTCTAATACTGTTTGGACATGATCTTTCCTAATAAGGCTTATCATAAAAACACATAAAATGCTTTTGTATCATATTTAAAAACTGTTGAATACTAGGAACTGAATTATATTACTCTTTCTTAGACTTTATTTTTCAATGTTGCCATCTGTTTGCCCAGAGACGGGAAGCTGTCTTGGGTGGCACAGGCAGCGTCTGTCTGGACTTCTCTCTACCCTCTGCCATGAATGAATCTCATTATAGTTCACAGTAGCCTGTGTACGCATACCACTGACTGCTACCGTGGCTGGCTTATTCTCAAGTGAATGTCTGCATATGTCAACTCAGACTGCTACCTGAGTTAAAGATGGAGGCTGCTCGGCAAGGGTATTGAATGGTACCCAGGAAGATCAGATAAAGAACAGGGCCAGCCAGATATGCCCCAGAAGTTCTCCCTTCTCCCATCCTGAAGGATGCAACTGCTCCTATTCTGCGTAGCTTGATGATTGCTTAAAGCAAATCCGGGCTGCAGAGGGGCCTTGGGTATGCAAAGATGGGATAAAGTCATAGCTATCTTCCAAATTCAGGCCCCCCAAAAGTCAGCTTCAGTCAGTATTCAACAAAGACTTCCTGATCACCTACTGTGTAGAAGAGTATTATGAACAGAAGGGTGCTGTGAGACAGCGAATGATGGGTAAGTTGGGGCCATTGTGTCTCTTCTCTGGAGGAAAGACCTGGATACGATTCAGTACAACACGGTGATGCACTTGACAGGATAGCAAATTTAAAATTAAAATTTAAAACAATTTAAAAACCAAGCAAACAAAGGAAAACGCTGACTTTGAGAACAAGAGAAATGAAGAGGGAACAGCCTAAGCTAGAGGAGCTGAGCGAAGGAGACAAGGGAAGAAAATACCGTGCTGTGTTCCATACGGCCAAACCAGGAGCCAGCACGCTTTCCGCGGAAGGCCAGAAAGTAAGTATGTCAGACCGTGGGTCTCTGCTGAAACCACTAAACTAGGCCGCTCCAGGGCCAAAGCCGCCAGAGATGACACTCAAGCGCCCGCGTCTGGCTGTGTGCCCACAGGACCTTATTCAGGAACACTGACAGTTGAACTGCAGGTAACTTTCACAGGTCACCGTATTCCTGTTTTTTTTTTTCTTTCCTCTCCCTGATGACTTAGAACTGTGAAAACCATTCTTAGTTTCTGCGGCACATAGCCTGGCAGTGGGCTGGATCCAGCCACAGGCAGCGGTTGCTAACCCTGCACCAAACAAGCAATGGTTGGAACTAAACTTTAATATAATCCTTCCCTTGGTTCAAAATATAAAGTCAAATTGTTGTTGTTGATATTGTCAAGCTGAGTGTTGGGACTATGAAGTTTTCGTCAGTTTGTTTAGCTATAGCTTCTAGAAGGATCATGCGTTAACTTTTCTCCTTTCTGGTCAGTCATTAGTAGAATTTAATGAAGCAGCATAATCTGTGCTTATCTTAAAATAATTCTGCATTACTGGAGAGTAAGTGATGGCTTACCAAAGGTAACGACTATATACAGGGGGAGAAGTTAGGAGGGCAGGTGACAGTCTGAAAAAAGATACTGTGTACAGAAATCAAGACAGGAATAGAAAGTGATGGAGGCCTAAATCCTAAATGTAGGGTTACGAGAATAACAGTGTCTTAGGGAAAGTGGGGGTAAGAGGAGGAGACCCAGGTTTGGAGCAGAGGCGAGGCTGGCTTTGGAGTTGCGGGGGAGGTGGTACTGCGGTGCTGAGGTCTGGTTCTAGATCTCAGGAGGACGGTCAGGATTCGACACGTACATTGAGCCTGAGAAGTAGCCTAAGAGCAAGAAGGAAGGGGCAAGAGTGTCACGTGACAAAATCCAGGGCATAAATGTCCAAGAGGAGCTGGTTAACCAGAGTCCGACAAAGCGAGGTGGGTTGCAGGAGAGGTGCCTGGATTTGGTTATGGGGTGACCACCGGACACCCCTATGACAAGTGAAACGTCTCTTCCTTTTCTCTTTCTGGGAAATACCTGAATAGGCACCAAATAGTGGCTTGCATTTCGTTTTGTTTTGACTTCTCTTGAATTAATGACTCTGTCTGTTCTCCAGTGTACACGGTACTCTTGAATGAATGAATTCTGTCCTACTGGGAGGGGGTTAAGCTCTCTCTGAGACCCTCAGCTGGACACACTGACCTTGTCTCATATTCTCACTTCTGGGGGGAAAGTCAGAGGGACCTCACGGTGACGTCGTGGCACACCGTCTCACAGAAAGCGCTGCTCCGACTTTGTCCTGGTGTCCAGAGAAGTGCAGAGAGGAGCAGGAGCCTCGGCTCTACTCAGAACGCGGGCAGGCCACTAGCTGACCTCACGCCCGTTCCACGGGCCTCGCAGTGAGTGGGACTCAGTGATCTCTGTTCTCAGGACTTTCTAACCTTTGTATTCGTAAGTGTTCTGAGGGGTGCAGAGAGAAAGATGGAACGGCTGTCAGCCAGGTCTCTCGAGCCAAAAGCCCCGGGCCTCTCTTCTTTGTCTCAGAAAATTATCGAACCCAGAAAAGTCGTCACATCTGAAGCACGTGACCTAAAGTAAAGGCTCAGAGAAATTCAGGACTTTGTTAGGAGCTGGGAAAGATCACTGGGAACGGAAACGTTTCGTATCTGTAGTTACGCAGGGTAACAGCTGTCGAGTGCGAGCCCTGCTGGGGCCGCTTCTGCACACAGTCTGGGGTGGGGTTGGGGGGGCGCTCTGTCAGAGCTGGATAACGTGGCTGTTGTTATTAGTAACTCGGCCTGGGCAGAGGCCTGGATACTGGGTCCGAGGGAAAAAGAACAAAGCTGGCCTGCGGGCTGAGGCTGGGGGACGGGAAGGAACAGAATGTGGAGATGACAGGAGCTTCCCTCCTTCCCTGCTCGCGGGGCTGCTGGATGGTGGCGTCTCTGCCTCAGACAGACAGTCTCATCTGCACGACGGAAGTAACCATCGGGAGCTTCGCTGGCTGGCTGTGCGTCTGCTCTGGCTGTCTGTGCGTCTGCTCAGCACAGACCATGTGTTCTGAGGTGTGAGGGGCTGGCATGTGCGGTGCAAGATCAAAATTCTGAGTTTTCTACAAAAATGACTTTGGATTTATACAGAGGTTCCTTATTTATTTCTGAATTATCAAGTCTTGATTTAAAAAAAATTAGTACGTGTTTAGGAGACTTGAATTCTTTTGGATTGTGAGGTTTACGTTGTTTGTTAGTGGGGTGAGGGATTCGACCACATTCTCCCTAGGCAGAATGAAATATTTTCCTGTCAACTGTTTAGTGCTGCTTTCCTCCCTAAAGTAATAAAACGGAAGTAACCAAATGGAATTACTCTGAACGGGAGGGCATATGCATGCATATGAATATTATTGTTTTAAAAAACATACTATTTGTCAGTGGTTAATTCCATGGCTCAAAGTCTACTGCTGGAAATTTTTATCTGAGAACTTGTCCCTGTAGCAGCTAAGTACAATGGCATATGACTGGAATATGACATCTCACAGTTCAAAAGTTACCTTGCATTTGTAAACCCATGGTTTGCTACCCCTTGTCTTACTTGTGAGAGAAATACTATGGTCGTTATCTGAAAGATGAGGAAAACTGAGGCTCAGAGAAGATTAAAAGACTTGCCTGAGGTTACAGATTTAAAGTGCCATGGTCCAAATCACATCTTCTCACTCAAAGTCCAGATCACTTTCCAATACACCACAGTGAAATACAACAATATGGAGAAAATAGTCCTTAAGATTCCATGTCCATTTGTACAGCATTATTACAAGATATAGCACGGTATTCTTTATCTAGACAACACAGGGGACAGACAGACAGGGTGCCTGTGCAACACTCCAGCTCTTGTCTGAGCCATCTCTAAGTCTCTGGTCCTTCCTGGCATTCTTCAAAGGCACGACAAAGGTAACCCCAGTGAAGTTCTTACCAGTGACACACATTGTGGGTTGATGCCCACACCGTTTCTGTGTCTCCTGTGTGCAGAGCTCAAGGCTGTGTTTTGTACTTTCCCTACCAAGGAAAGGTCCACCTCTAAGTACGATGTGGAGGTGGGCGTGATGCTGCTACAAACTCCACATCCTGGGCGTCTCTGCCTGGCTCTGCATGTTCATCATCGTACTTTTCTCAGTGTCTGTCATGCTAGCTGTTACTCTGTACTTGCCCTTACTGGATGCCGACCCACTTTTTTGTAATTCATCATCTCTCAAAGTAACCAAGTACATCGTCAATCACAAGTATCTTTTAAAGACAATGGAAGATAGTTTCTACGTCCATTGTAAGCATAATTATATTTTTATTCTTCTTGTGTGTGTGTGATGCCAGCCAGCTCAGGATCTACTTTGAGGCTGCAGTATGTATCTTCACACTTCAGGTTTCTGAAATATTTCCACACACCACTTTAGGTGTGTGGAATAACACAACCCCACGGGGTGTCACATGATGTGAATTCCATCTTGGGGAGCTGTGCAATGAGGCAAACCAGTACTCTTCTCTCCACTATGTTTCTATCTTAATGGTTCCTGGTGCATTTAGATAAGGAATAAATAAAAGATATTTCTGAATAAACACATTCAATTAACAAGTATATGATGAGCACCTACTATGTGCACAGCACTCTGGAGACAGGAAAAAAAGGTATTTTCAGGGACCAACTCAAATACCTTCCAGTACTCTAGAATGAAAAGAATTTCATCACACAAAGCTGTATATGAATACTTAGCGAGAGATGTAATTGGCGAATCACTACTGAATAACCAGGTGCTAACAAGGCAAGAGGTAGGTGAAGTCACGACTGTTTATGGAGAACTGACTACATTTCAAGCACTACAAATCTGATTACATAACTTACCCCCACAAAATTCTGAGACAGGTATTCTACCAAGTTTACAGACGAAGAAACAGGCTTAACAAAGTTAAGTTATCCAGCCCTGTAAAAACACTACCTTAAAGGTAAGGAAAAAGGACTCAGGTGAAGTAACCCCAAATCCCAAAGTTAGAGAAAAGAGAATGCAAGATTCAAACTCATAATCATGTGACTGAGTTAAGCCAGGGTTCTTAACTAACATGCAGAATTAGATACTGAATTTGCACTCAGATCTTGTGATTCTAATAGTGTTTTTCCATCACACCATACATACTACCTCTTTCAGACAACTACAGTCGTACACAGGAAGCAAAGTGATAGAATGAGCAGAGAATTTTTTACACTATAGTAGACACTTGATGTATGATAAATATCTTCATGAAAAATTCTTCAAGAACATTTTTGAGTCAGTGTGTGTGTGGAAAACAGTGGGAAGTAATTACTCCAAAGAGAAGATTTGTCATGTACAACCATGACCACTTTGCTCCTAGAAAATGGAACGAGCCCTGAAGTGAATCTTTATTTAACATACAAAGTGAATTCAGTGCTACCACTGGAATGAAACTGTTTTCTGAACTACGGCTCAGATGGTAATTAGATAAAATTCTTAATAATCTTTGATATGTCACTGATAATTTCAAGGGATTTGAGAGTCCAAATAATTTCATCAAAGGTTCAGGGAAAATCTGTTCTTAAACCCAACTGAATCAGGCAAATATAAAAGTCACTTAATCTTTAGTGTAATGAAAAATCCTACTTAGGAAAAGTTAATATAAATGTTTAAAATACTTGTATCAGAATTAATAATAATTAGCAGCAAATATTTATTGAGTAACTAATACTGTGTGCTGTTTACTTAGTACTAGGCAGTGTGGTAAGTGATTTACAAAAGCTGAAGTCTTTAAAAATTTTTCCTATTTACAAATGAGAAAACCAAGGGTTAGAAAAGTTACTTAACTTCCCCCAAGTCCCAGAGCTAGTAACAAGTAGATGAGGGATTTAAATGAGGAAAGTTTGCTTATTGCCACTTAGAAGATGATCTGGGAGAATTTAGTGATGGCGTGAAACATACTGATACTGTAAGAAAAAAAACCCTTAAGACAGAAATGTGGGGAGGACTTAAGGAGATAGGATAAACATGTAACATAGACTTTTACCCCTTCAACCACAGCACAAACATCAACATCAAAAACACAGCAGTGTGAACTACTGAGAAAATCTGAAGGGCATAAATGTTTAAGATTTTGTGAGGTTTAAGATGAAAATGAAAAACATAAAGAATGCTCTATATAGTAGAAATAAAAGGTGGCAGAACTCAAAACTGTGAGGAAATAAACTGGTTTAAAGATAATTCTGGACATAGTTCTGTGTATCATCAGTATTTCTTGGTACAAAAGTTACAATTCACCAAAATGTAAAACACAGACATGGAGGTGACAAAGGTGGAGACACCACCCGAGAGAGCGTGCTGGCCTTGGGGCCGGAGCCCCGGGCTGGAGGTGTTTGTGAAGGGGTAGCTGCTGTTCTGTTCAAGTGTGCGTCTTCCCTGAGGGGCATCCTGAGCCTTATCCAAAGGACAGGTATTGTCTCCAGTGGGTACAAAGTGAGAGGGGTTTCTATTCTTGAAGAAAACTGTTGACTGGCCCTAGCAGCTCATCTCAAAGTGAAGGACAGGGTCTTGGTCGGGGACGTATTCTTTTTCTGGCAAGCCTACCTCAGTGTACGTGTGGCACAAGATATTGGGCTGATTCAGCTCTTGGTCACCAGGGCTAATGATTCATTATGGTGGGGATGGACGTCCACAGGTCTTTTCAGCAGGACTCGGGCCAGGGCACAGCTTCTGGAATCTGCTTTGCAGGGCTCCAGTATCTCGACCTACATGCTACCTTTGTTCGGTAACAGCAAGGTTGGTGTGTCTTATTTTTGATCGAGGACTACCATGCTGGTGCCAGACACGTGCTTTTGGGAATGCCCAGTGTTCCTTCATAGAACATGGTATTATGTTCGTAACTGACCAAGCTTCTCCCACAGAATTCAGTGAGAAAAGGTCTTTCTCTCTCTTTTTTTTTAAACATCTCACCTTTCAACTATTCCCAGAATTATTTCTGTCTTCCTTTCATTCATTCCCTCTCTCACTCGGCCTTTTGCCATCCCGTTTTCTCCAGCGAACTAGTTGGAAGATACATATTTCCACTATACTACCAAGGTTTTAAAACTTAGCTCAGGATTTATCCAAATCTCTGGTGTCTACTCTCTCCAGTCCTTGTTCCAACAGTTGCTCTTGATGTTAATCATCTATTTATTTACCAGAATCATTCATAAGAGAACTGATACAATTTCTGGGGGGAAAAAACCCTTATTCTGAAGGAAAATGATGCAATGGATTAAAAACAAACCCTGAAGCAGTATCTCTCGTACTAAGGGAACCCTGGCATGTATCCACGTATTAGACGAGTAAGAGGATAAACATTTTCAAATGAGAACCTGGTACTGGGTGTTCCTAATGCTTCCCTCTGCTGTGTTTTGTTAGCTCAGAGGAATGCTGTCAGTGTAGTGAGAGAAACATACCCCATCCACCTGACAGTGCTGAGTGATCCGAGAGGGGAGAGGCGTGAGTGCCACAAGGATTCACAGCTCGATGAACGACTCACCACTGCATCCATGGAAAAGACAGAATGCAGAAAAGCAGATACAAACACAAGTTCTCAGGAGACTACAGAGAGATTAGAAAGCTTTCAAGTGATAGGGGAAGAGATGATTAAACTACAGGAATGATTTAAATGGGGCAGTGGAGGTGCTGGCCAGCTGCGTCAAGCAGATAGCACAGAGATGGCGAGCCTGGAGAGCAGGGGAGCAGCCAGGCTCCCACCTGCACGTTCCTGGAGCCTCCCATCACACCCCTTCAGCACAACGCTGTCCCAAGGTTCTTTTTGTTTTGTTGTGGGGTTTTTTTGTGTTGTTTTTTTTTTT